TGATTGTCCTCTGCTCTGTTCACCGTCTCTTATATTTATAGGAAATGTTGGAGTAGGGTTTCTAATCCTTTAAAAATAGGCGGCAGATTTTCTAAAAAAATCTTTTATTTTAAAATGCAAAGAAAAATGGGGTTTTATCAATTTTGGTAGACAAGCCCTCCATAGTCAGTTCCTAAGGTAGTCACTTCCTTATATTTCTAGAAAAAGAAACTTGACCCTTCTTTAATTTCAACTACTTTGTAAGAATTCAAACTGTGATGGTTAGTTTGATTTTCTAGTTTGAACAGCTCCCTGCTTCCTACTTATCTCTACAACGTAGTTTGCTTATCCCTTGGAAGCAGTGCCTTTTTGGAGCAGAATTTTCTCTGAGTATATATAAAAAGGGGATTTTGATCTTCTGGTTTGGCAGAGTTTTCGGAGATGTCCTTTTTTATACCTGCCCTAATTAACTCCATATCAATCCCAGTTGAAATTGCTGACTTTTCTCATGTCAGGAGGTCACGTGGGTTTGTTTCCTTTTGGGTTCATCTCTCTTTACTTGACCATGCCAAGCCCAATTTGGGTTTTTTGGAGTTATGGGCTGATTTTTCAAAATTTCCGAAGCCCAACGTCGTTATCGTGTTTTTGGCAAATTCTGTGCTGGGCTTTCCTGGATTTTGAGCCCTTGACTCCTGTTTTTATTGCAAAGCCCAGACTGCTTGGGTCCTGTGATGTTGCCTCATCCTTCTGGGCCTCTTGTATTTGGGCTGAGTGTGCATTTTGGCCTAATTTATAAGGAAACGTTAGTGGCTGTTCAAAATTGATATGGCTTTTGATCGCTTGGACTGGGTGTGTCAAATTAGGCCCAAACACAAGGCTACTCAGAAATCATCAACAGACTATATAGAACTTGCACATGTAGCTAGACATATACCACAAATAATGAATGCAGAAGTTGTACCTTCTTGCTCTTTAAATGGTAGAAGTCAATGAGGTCGTCCGGTTGTGCATGAGAAATTTAAGCCTTTGTTTTTATCTCCGAAGCCAATTTGATAATACAAGGGAAAGGAGGCTTGCACCCAAGAGACCATCTGGTGATGATGTGATAAATGAATTTAGTGAATTAAGAGAAATAACACATGACAAGGATGAGAAAAAAAAATACAATATATGGGTTTGGAAAAAATAATAAAAAAAAAAACATTCAATACTTTTCCAATTACCTTACTGGAAAACACTTTTGATGTGTCACAATTTAGATGTCATGCACATTGAGAAAAATGTATTTGAGAATGTGATTGGCACAATGATGAGCATTGATGGAAAAACAAAAGATTCTTTAAATGCTCGTCTTGATCTTCAAGAAATGGGTATAAGTTAGAGGTATCATCCAGAAAAAGGAGATGATGGTCAAATGATGATAACAAAGCTTTATGTGAATGGTTAATGGAGTTGAAAGTTCTAGATGGCTAAGATGTGTGAATGCTTCATAACGTAATATTTCTGGTATGAAAACTCATGATTGTCATGTGTTCTTAGAGAGATTAGTTTCATTTGTGGCCCAAAATTTATCGCCCAAAGATGTAAGTGGGCCTTTAATTGAATTATCGTACTTTTTCAAGGAATTATGTGCTAAGTTTTAAGAGAAGATGACTTGAATCTTCTTAACAATCAAATTGTCATAACTCTATGCAAGTTGGAAAAAATATTCCCTCCTTTTTGACACAATGATTCACCTAGCTTGCCACTTGGCATGGGAGGCAAAAGTGGCCAGTCTAGTACAATTCAGGTAGATGTATCCTGTGGAAAGGTAATCTCAATGTTTAGATATTAATTTTATTTATAGTTTGTTTAATTGCTGATGTATGATCTCTAATTCCAGTATTTACGACGTAATTAAGTATTTGCATAAGCTAAAGACTTATGTTCATAATAAGGCTCATTCAAAAGGGTATATTGCTGAAGGTGTCTTGGGAGATGAGTGTTTAATATTTTGCTCTCGCTATTTGCATCGAGTTGAAACTAAGTTTAATAAAAGAGATAGAAACGACAATGGAGGTCAACCGTCATATGATACATCTCGATAATTTATTTTCTTAACACTGGTCGAGCTTTTGGCTGACACTCATTATGTCCTACAAAATTGTGATGAAGCTTTCCAATTTGTCTAGTAAGAAATCTTCAACACTATAGATTCTTTGTGTATTTAATATGTTACTATTTATTTAGATCTAATATGTCACTTTTGTAATTTGAATATAATCGTTTGTTATGTATGCAGAGAACATAAGAACATCCTAATCCAGTCTAGTGTTGATAATGTGGAGGAGTCACATAGGTTTCAATTTTCAAACTTGATTTCTAAAAAGGTATGGATAATATTGTATTGGAAAAAACTATTGACTGTCATAATTGTTTATTTAAAACTGTTTTTTCCTTTCTATGTAGGTCATAGAACTATACAACGATGCTAAAGTTAGTAAACAAGTGCTTTCTTTGGCTCGAGGTCCTGAAAGGTGAGCAACTTATTATCCTGGTTTAATAGTGGTTTTATGTTTCATACATTGCAGCGTGATGAGAATAATAAAAAAATACAAAATAGTGGACTTATGGTTAAGGGGAAGAATCAGATTGACGCGATGTGCCTTGGTACGCAATCTTAGTAGATGTTGTTTAGCTCCGTTACATAGAAGGAAATAGAGTTGTATTGTTCAATTGTGATTGGTATGACACAACACGAAAAGGAACAGGCTACAAGATAAATCGTTATGGAATAATCACTGTTAATACAACACGCAAGCTAAATACTCAAGTCATTCGTATTAGCAAGCCAAGCAACCCAAGTTTTTTTTATGTGAAAGGGGTTAAAAATAAGATTTGGAGTTTTGTAGTGGAAACAATTCCAAGAAATGTTTATGAGATGACTAATGATGAGAGTGAGCCATACCAAGAATCAGAGACTCAAAATCGAAGCATGCATGCCATTCAAAATGATGTTAAAGAAAATGAAATTAATTGAAGAATGGATGTGATTCAACTTACAACTGTGGGATGAGTTCTTATGTAATTGTGATTGTCAATTTTTTTTTGGGTTGGCTATTTTTAGTTATCTATTTTGGAGTGTGATTGGTTATTATTAATCACAATTTTTTATTTTTATTTATTTACAACTAGGACGAGTTTTCAATTTTGTTTGTCTTTTATTTCTAAAATAAATGATAGCCATTGTGGACAATGTTAATGAGCTTTGCAACTTTTAACATGTAAGATTAAACAATTTAATCAGATAAGTATTAATTATATATATATTTTACTTATTCTAATGGGAAATTGACCTTCGAACTTTTTTCGAAAGGACATATTTCTACTTGGAAATAGTCAAACAATTCAGACGAAAGGAGAAGCCCCTCAGCAATAGTCAAACAATTTCGACAGAAGGAGAATCCCCTCAGAAATAATTAAACAATTTCGATGGAATGAGAAACCCCTCGGAAATAATCATCCTATTTCCAACGAACATACTTTTGGTCGTTAGTAAAGTTGGCACCAAAGCTTCCCGCAAAATAAATTACATTTCCGACGACCATACAACCTTTTCCTCGAGCATTTCATTTGTCTGAAATATATTTCAGGCCCGTGACATATTTCCAACAGACAACATTTCTTTGATGAAAAAAATACTTTTTGCGACGGAGTTTTGGGACCCTCGGAAAACCCTTTATTTTTTGTAGTGACATATCTAACAATAGTAATAAAAAGTTGAGGTAATGTTTCACCATTCAACAAAAACATGATTGCCCTTTTCATTGCATCTATCTTTGCATCCACATCATTTCCCTTTAGAGATTCATTGATTTCATTTGCAATTGCTGTTGTTCCTTTATCAAAGTGAACGAGCAGGCTACAAGATTTCTCAATTTCTTAATTGCTTCTTGAAAAACAACAGTTCATATTAATTTATATCATCTAAACTTGAACTTCTTAAGCATATGATAACCAATATAGGCATATGATTGGGCTGGTTGTCAAGATAAATAAAGGAACGTATGTCATATGAACTGCATACTCACATGTAAGATGTTAGAATTTGTCTTCTTACCTAATGACATAAAATATTTAACTCACAAACTAAAATTCCAAACTTTAAGTGCAGTAGGGTTATAAAGATGACTTTTGACCAAGTTCATCAATATGTAGTTTGTTCACTGAATTACCTCTCCACAACTAACAAAAGTTAAAAAAATTTGACATAAATTGAGGATTGTCCTTGAATTGCTTCAAATTGAAATCACATGAACAAAATTGACAAAATTGAATTGACAAAGACCAAAGTGGTAAAAATGGCAAGCTATAGGGACCAAAAGTGTCTTTTTCCTGAAAATTGAACCTTATACAATTGTTTTTTTTCTTTTGGGTCGTACCTCATACAATTGTTTAGTCTTTAAACTCATTGAATTAAATTTAAGGCTTATTTACATCAATTCCCTCTGAAACTACGATCAAATCTCATTTTGCTCCTCCAAACTTAAAGTGGCCCACTTACCCCGCTTGATCGTGGTTTGGTGACCCACTTTGCCATATGCCATCAACTCTATCCAAAACTCTGTTAAAACTGATAACGTGGCATGAGCTTATTGATAATTTCATAAACATGGATGTGGGTGATGTGGCAAGTGGAGGCCACCTCCACATAGATTAAAAAATAATTAAATATTTTAATAACTAAAAATTAAAAATAAACTTAAAAGAAAAACTCAAAAATCTTCCTCCAATCCTCCCATCTATACACCCTCAAGATTCAAGATGTCAGAACTTGATAAGTCACTGATTTGTGTATACCACAACATCGTATATCCAAATTCGCATACAACATCCTAAATGGTATTTGCATTCCCGTGAAAAATCCGCACTGGTCTACATTACCATTGGTAATGGAGGAAATATTGAGGGCTTAGCAACCAAGTAATTATGCATGATACATTTGGTGTTTTTTGATTCAATTCCGTAAGTATTTGTCAGCACTATATATTGAGTTTATGAAAAATTCCTTCTGTGATGCAGCATGACAGAACCACAGCCAGCTTACTCACACCATCCCTGTCCACAAACCCAACTCCACCCAACACCTTCAACCACTTAGCACGATAGTGGATTGACCTTGCCCCCAAAATCCCCAAATCAAAATTTGCCAAAAATGAAGAAGTCGACAGCTCCGGGGTGGGGGCAAGATCTGATTTTCTAGGGTTGACCCGAGTAGATCTTGGGATGGGGCGCGATTGTTTGGGAGTCAAAGTTGTATGGGGAAATTTTGGGTTTTTAAATTGTATGTACTTGTAGGTTGCCATTGTTGTGTTGGTCTCCTATGTTCTCTCTAGTGCCGTGGTCATCTTTTCCTTTTTTTTTTTTTTTTTTTTTTTTTTTTCTGCTATAGTGTCTGTGTTATTCAACAAAATTGTTGATTATTTGAGAGAGAGAGAGAGAGAGAGAGAGAGAGAGAGATCAGAGGGGGAGTGGGAGTGGAAGGCGGAGGGGAAGGAGAAGAAGGGAGATACGAAGAGGAGATGATGACTTGCATGTTTTTTTCTTTTAATTATTTTTCATGTTTGTTGAAGAAAGGAGGAGGAGAGGGAGCGATTTGGAAGAGAGAGAGGGGGGGCAATGGTTGGTGCGGTTGGGTAGGGGGATGGGTGTGGGTGGGATCTGGGTGAGATGATCGGGTAAAGAGAGAGAGAGAGAGGTAGGGAGAGATATTTTTTTTGGGTGGTGCTAGAGGCACCAACTTTGGGCACCAACTCTCTAAGAGCAGCTCCAGCGCTGCTATCAAACAGGGCAAAAGGCCCCCCTGGCAAGCCCAATACAGCTCCAGCGCACCACTTGCAGCCCGGGCAAGCCCTGGGTCCCACTAGCCCGGGCAAGCCCAAGGGCAGATTTTGCCTGGGCTTCAGCTTGAGGGCGCTGACGTCAGCGAGCAAAAAAAAAATCAAAAAAATTATAAAAAATTCAATTTTTTTTAAATAAAAAAACCAAAAAATTATGGATGTTTTCCCTATAAATACATAACAATTTTATTAACTTTCCCTATAAATACATAACAATTTTATATTTTGTTGCATATATATATATATTTTTCTTGCCCTTGACTTGCCCTCATGGGTGGAACCACAAATGCAAAGGCTGACACTATTCACGTGAATAGTTGCAGCCCTTGCCTTAGATTTAGCCCTTGTGGGTGGAAGTGCTCTAATAGAGGTGGGGCCCGCCAATACACCGGGGCCCACGCTTTATTAGAGAGTTGGTGCCTCTAGCATTTTCCATTTTTTTTAGTTCTAAATTTTTTAATGTTTTATTTTAATTTTTAAATTAGTTTAAATTATTAAATATTTAATTATATTTTTATCCATGTGCAAGTGGGCTCCACTTGACACATCACCCCTCAATTAGTGAATAAAGACTGGCAATGAGTCGGGTCGTGTCGGGTTCGTGTCGTATCGGGATGTTAAACGTGTCAAGAATGCTCAACCCGAACCCAACCCATTTAATAAACGTGTCATGTCGGGTTCGGGTCGTCTTTTATCGTGTGGATTTCGAGTCGTGTAACGGGTTGATAAATAATAACATGCATGTTACAAAAGTCACAACTAAAAAAATTTAAATAAAAAAAACAAAGAGAGGAGAGAAAATATAAGGAAAAGAAAGAAAAAAAGGATAGAGAGAGGAGAGAAGAGAGAAGAAAAACAAAAAAAAATAGAGAGAGGAGAGAAGAGAGAAGGAAAACAAAAAAAAATAGAGAGAGAGAGAGAGAAGAGAGAAGGAAAGAAATAAAAATAAAAAAGAGAGGAGAGAAAACTAAAGAGAAGGAAAAGAAAGAAAAAAAATAAGAGAGGGGAGAAAACTAAAGAGAAGTAAAAAAAGAGAGGAGAAAAGAGAGAAGGAAAAGAAATTAAAAAAGAGAGAGGAGAAGATAGACGAAAAAGAAAGAAAAAAAAAGAAGAAAAAAAAACATTATAAATATCAAAAGGCATAGTATATAATCACAAAGTTGTATCTAGCATGATGGATAAGGTGTTGGAGAGTAATGAGGATGGAGGGGGCTCGAAACCCCATATGTGTGTTTTGAAGTCTCTATTTCCCTATATTTTTTCGCGGGTTGACCTGTCTTATACAGGTTGACACGACCCGTTTAATAAACGGGTTACACATGTATTTTAACGAGTTGGCGGGTTGACCCGAAACCCAGCCGTTTAATAAACGGGTTAAAACAGGTTGACCCGAAAATTACCCAATTATTAATCGTGCGGGTTCGAGTCGTGTTTTTTCTGTGCGGGTTTCGAATCGTGTAGGAAATTGCCACCCCTATGAATAATGAACTATAGGTACAAAATTACACAAACACCCATGCCACGTCATTAGTTTTAATGGAGTTTTAGATGGAGTTGACGACAAAGGCAAAGTGGGTCATCAAATCACAATCAAACGGGGTAAGTGGGCCACTTTAAATTTGGGAGGACGAAGTGAGATTTGACCGTAGTTTTTTAAGGGGCATGATTGTGAATATTTAAGGTAGTGTGCGAAGGGAAAAGGCATGCATTGTGAATTCGTAATTGGGTGTCTTCAACTGTTACCGCGCTTAGTGGAATATTCTTAACGCTGACCTAACCCACAAACTCAAAATGCCAATTTTGGCAGATTCCAAGCCTCGCTTTCACAACCGGCCAAAGATGAGGCGGACACTCACCCAACAAGCTCATGTGTTCAGCGTTCCACCCACAAACAACCATCCACCCACCCACACTCACACAACCCGTCCTCCTCCTCCCTTTTTCTTCTCTCCCCCACCACAATTGGCGCTGAACTCAGCACCATCATCACACTCACACAACCTCTCCTCCTCCTCCCTTTTTCTTCTCCCCCACAACACAATTGGAGCTGAAGAAAGCTCCCTTTCTTCGCTCAGCAGCTAAGACTCCTGTTCTGTGCACAACCTGTTTGATAAATGTCTCAGTGGGCTTGTGTCTCTGCTGCTAACTTGAGCTGCCAAGCTAGCATCATCAACACTCAAAAGCTACGAAACACTCCCAGATGCGATGCCTTTTCATTTAAAGGTAGTGAATTTATGGCTCAAAGCTGTAGATTTTTAAGCCCACAAGCTATTTATGGAAGGCCGAGGAATGGTGCTTGCCCTTTGAAGGTTTGTTTTCTCTAGAAGTACGAGTGGTTTAGTTGCTAAATTGTTAAATTGTTAAATTGTTAAAAGGGTAATAAACTTTTTTGCGTGTAATTGTAATGGTGAGTAGGTGGTTTGCGTTGATTATCCAAGACCAGACCTTGACAATACTGCTAATTTCTTAGAAGCTGCATATTTCTCTTCCACTTTCCGAGCCTCTCCTCGTCCAGCTAAGCCGTTGAAGGTCGTGATTGCTGGTGCAGGTGATTATGATATACAAACTTATTATATATTCTTAAAATTGCATTGGGTTTTCTTTTTCCCTTTTTCTTTGGCTCTCATGTCCAATTTAAGATTGTCTTATAGTGAACTCAAAATTTATGGATACTAGATATAACATTTTATCTTTCATTATGTGATTAATATTTATTCTGTTCTGAATTTTTGCAGGTTTGGCTGGTCTTGCAACTGCAAAATATTTGGCTGATGCAGGTCATAAACCTATCTTACTGGAAGCAAGAGATGTTCTAGGCGGAAAGGTTTTTCAGCTGCTATAACTTTATCCCACTTTGAGACCATATTGCTGTTAGCTCGAAAAAGTTATAACTTTATATGTTTTGCGGCTAATGATTAGAGAGAAAATATCATTTATTAAAATTTAGAAAGAAAAAAAAACATAAGGATAGGACAGAAGAAATTTATTAGAATTGCAAGGGAAGTACAGTCTTACATAATTAAATAAATTTACTATAACTTGCCAAAAAGAAAGACACTAAGTTCTGGAAAACCTGCACAGAAGGAAAACATAAACAAGTGGGGGAAATCCATCTAAGAGAAAGTGCAAAGATAGAGAATTTGCTCTTGGAAAGTTCCAAGGGGCGAATCTGACTCTTATAACTGTGCTTTCTAGTCTTCCAACTTATAATTATGTCCTTGTTTGTGCTCCCAAAATCAGTGGCCAATGAGTACGCAATTGGAAGGGTCACTGTCCAATATTTATCCACATTCTAACTTCATATCTCTGATATTTTTGTTGTTTCTATTAATTGCTTATTGAAATATCCAGTTTTTGATAGGTGGCAGCATGGAAAGATAAGGATGGAGACTGGTACGAAACAGGCCTCCATATCTTCTGTGAGTTTAATAGTTTTTTCTCTTATAAAAAATCTTTTTTTCAACTTTAATAATCGTCATACTACATTTGGGTGGCTCGTATGGGAGAGGATGATAAAGTATAATAAATTGGGAAATGAGATTTCTAGTAATTAGTAGCTTGCATTGTTCTTCTTCCAAAGTTCAGACTGTGTAAGGGTATCGAGTCTACTATTTTCTCTGTTCTGTTTGAAGAAAACAAAAATCTCTCATAGAAGTATTGAAGGCTGAGAAAATTACACCGGCAGGCGATTGTGCTTGCAAGTGAAGCTATTGTATTCTCTGAAAAGATAAAGTTTTTAAATAAAGTACCTATTTCATTTTTGACCAAAATTGGTTTATATATAAATTTGTAATATTCTATATCAATTCAAAATTTTAGCTAATATATAAGTTGCAACATAGAGGGGTGAATAAAATTAATTTTAGGTGGACGTATCAAAATGTTAATCAACCAACTTTTTAGAATTATATTGGAAAAGGGTTGATAAGCAGTACTTATAAAATCAGAAAATTTAAAATCTGCCACCTGTTGTATGTAGGGGTTTGAACCCAAGCATTTCCAGTATCTTTTTTCATTGTCTGTCTTCTATCCAAGATGAATCTACATTATGTATTTAGTGCTTAATGAAACTGGTTCTTTAACTTTGCTTTAGGAATTTTGTTTAAAAATAAACTATTGATGTCTCTAGTGCTTATACATAGAGCAGCCAGGTAGTGGATTCTATTTCTTATGATATATATTTTTTGTATTGGCAAGTTGGGGCTTATCCGAATATTCAGAACCTGTTTGGTGAGCTTGGTATTGATGATCGATTGCAGTGGAAGGAGCATTCTATGATATTTGCAATGCCAAACAAACCAGGAGAATTCAGCCGGTTTGATTTCCCTGAAGTTTTACCAGCACCCTTAAATGGTAAGATATTTAGCCACCTCTTGAAATTTGACAATAGTTTCTCTACAACTGCAGAAATTCATTCCATTCCTTGGAAAGTAACTTGATTTATACAAACATTACAAAATAATTTT